TTCTAGGACTGATTAAAGAACAAATTTGTTCGTACAAATACTTCTTTCATGAGACCCATTGTTTGTAAATGATGAGACATCACTGGCTCTGGCCTAATGGTGATAATACAGAGCATTATCTGTACCAAATAGTACCCAAGTACCAAATAATTCTCCCTTATAGATAAAGTAACCTAACCTGGCAATAGCCAGATTGATATGTTTAGAACTGAGTTTTACGTTATCAATCTGGGATGCTGCCGTTCAGTCTGTCCGGGAAAAGGAGGGACGTTTAGTACAATGCTTTGAGCTGATGGGGTGACGTGCCAGCTAGTACCTGTCTTTCATCACTGCAAAAAATCTAAATCTAGATAAGTCATTTTTTTCTTAAAATAAATGCATTTGTGCTTGAATTAAGGAGGTAAAAGAGACATTCTGCCAATGGAAGAAGACAATTTACACTTAAAATAAGAAAACACAATTGCATTGTCTTATTTCAAGTGCATATTATCTAATTATGTTATTTTAAAAGTAAAATTACTCATTCCATTGGCAAACTTTCTCATTTACCTACTCAAATTAAGGGTGAATACACTTAATTAAGGAAATTTTTACTTATTTCTAGATCGTTTTTGCAGTGATAATACACTTTCTGCCAATCGTAGCAGCGAATTGTGACACTTCAGCACAGTAAGCTGATAAATGAAACTTTTTACACATCCTGTCGGAAGTAAAGCACAGACATCTTTCCCATCTACAAATGCTCAAAGTGCTTCTCTTTGCTCGTTTTTTAAGCGAGAACGTTTCGCTATTAAAGTTCAAACCGAGTCAGTTGTAGTATCAGAAGGGGAGTCCTCCAGCTTAGCCATGTTTGTATTGCCCCGGCAAGGCCCTTCTGACTGTCGTTATTCCTACAAGTCCCGCCCCAAAAAACACCGCTGGCATGTCATTGGTCCGATTCGCTGGTTGTTATGAGACGAATGTATTACTTGTGCTGCCACCAACTTCTGGCCATCTTACGACAATCCAGCACAAGGTTAAAAGTAAACTGCAGACTCATATATTAACAATGGAAAATTACACTTTTTCCTCTTTCAAAAAAAGGTGTTTGAATATTGATCTGCATATTTCTCACTAAAATACCTTCATCTATGAGGTACACAACCTCTAATTTCAGAATGTTATGATTATTTTC